CCAGGCATTTGCTATCAGCTGTGCTATCAGGCCTTGCTCGGAGGTCCTGACCTGCCACAGCCTCCCAACCTCTGTGCCAGCCCCTGGCCGCTTTCCTCAAAGGTTTGTCTTTCACCTCCTTCCCAGGTCTGCTTGGCACGATACCCTACCTGCATGGCATGGCCTTCTCTAGGAAGTTGTCCCTGGGTCCCCCCCAAACCCGAGGATGCCCCACTGAGCACTTTGGTCAGTAGCCTTTCAAGGGTTCCTCTTCAGCAGCCCCGATGAATTGGGTAAACACTGGGCCCCATCCTCCTCAGTCCCTCACCCGCCCAGGGCTCAGCCTGAGGGCACCTCACCATAGCCAGCGGACTTGCTGTTCTCCGAGGCGAAGTAGATGCCCTTGCCAACACGGCCACCGGAATGTGGCATGATGCGGAGCCCACTGGTAAGGATGGCGGCCACCACAGCCACATTGGTGCCATGCCACAGCAGCTTCCGATTCCTCAGCTTGGAGTGGGCCTGGAACCTATCTCCCTGAGTGGGGAGGAGATGGGAAATGGGAGAGTGATGCCATCCCAGCTCAGGTGCGTCTCCCTGCTGTTCAGAGGACCCAACCAAGGGCTGGGGCCCCTCTGGTCACTCACACTGTCACACACACACACACACACACACACACACACACACACAAGACCTGGGCCTGGTGGAAACTGGTCAATGCTAAGAGAATTCACTAAAGGGCAGCTAAGCCACGGTCACGTCCCTAAGAGTCAGGGCTGTGACGGGAGGGCAGTGATGGGTGGGAGAATCTGCCTCACCTCCCCTTCTCGGTTCACTGTCCAAACATGTTGAAGAGTAGGGCACCTGTAGTTGCCGGCAGTCTGTTCTAAGTAGGTGCGGATCACCTGCGGGGGGAAGTAGAAGCTGGGGCCGAGGGCGAGAGACGTGTGGATGAGCCCATGTTGGTCCCCCTAGTCCCAGAGCGCTCCTCAGCTCGGGACATACAGGGAGAGAAGGCCAAGGGTGAGGGACTCCTCTGGGCATCTGGAGGGCAGATGGGCAGAAGCTCACTGTTAGCTCGGCTCCTCTGGGGTCCCAGCCTACCTTGTATTCTGGCGCCTCTGGGTCCAGCAGCTGGAGCTGGCACTTGAGGAGCTGGTAATTTCGGTCCAGTGGGTGTGGCGCCTCCTCCACCTTCTCCTCCTCCTCGGGAGCTGCCTGCAGGGTCTGGGCCAGCTCGATGTCGGCCAGCACCTAAGGTGATGGGCACTGGCAGCTTGTCTGTCCACTTGACTTCTGGGCTCCCCTCTCCTTCCCACATGACCGTGACCATGGCCCCCCCACTTGTCTGTCCACCTGTTCACCCTTACCTGATCTATCTGCCAGGCCTTCTCCTCCCATCCTTTGGCCTGCCCATCGCAGTCCATCTGCCTGGGCCTTCTTGCCATCTCTCCCCCATCTCCCTTGCGCAGTCTGTCTGTTTGATACCCCCAATGCCTGCCCACCTGCCAGCCCTCACCAGCAGCATGTCCTTCTTAGCCTGAAGAAGCTCGGGGGAGTCGATGGGTGGGGGCCGGTTGCGGCCAAAGTTGTGGGGAATCACAGTGTAGAAGTGGGAAGACAGCTCCTCCAGGCTGCGGCCACCATCTGTGGGAGCTTTCAGGGCCACCTCCAGTGCCTCCAAGGCCTCGAAGCCCCGGGCAATCTGCTGCGTGCTCAATTTTCCCAGGGGCATCTTCTTCACATCTGGGGAGATGGGGAGAGAGTGGAGACTGAGCATCTGCCGTCCCTGGGCCCTGGCCACCTTGCCTGGCCCCTGTCTCCTCACCCAGGTTCATGCTGGCCATGGCATTATTGAACATATCCTTGCTGAAGATGTTGTCAATGAGCTTCTGCGTGGCTGTGTCCAGGGAGCAAGTCCGCACCCGCTGAACCACGGTCTTCACTGGGCCTCCGTCCACCTAGAGCAGAGGGCACATGTGGAAGGCATGGGCAGCCAGGAAGGACACCTGCCCTTGGAGNCTGATGATAAAGAAAGGGGAATATTAATTAATAAGTAGAAAAGAAATAATGGAATTAGATAACTACCAACTGCAACCATCTTAGCAAAAATCTATTCAGGTTATTAAGTATAAGTCATCAAGGGATGTTCAAGCTAGTGGGTGACAGATGATAAAAAATGGAACATTTACACTTCAAAACATTTTCCCACAGATTACTGATTAATTACAAATGGGAGAAATGGTAACTTTCCAGTGGAGAAACCTGGTGGCACCACCTTAATTAAGCCACCAAAATTAGTTCACATCACCAACAATGGGACATGTTCCTCCTGATAGAATGCCCTGAGGACACATCATGTATGCTGTGTTCCCACCCAAACTGCAGTACCTGAATATCTAATCATGACAAAACATCAGACAAACCCAAACTGAGAGAGATTCTATAAAAGAACTGGCCCATATTCTTCAGAAGTGTCAAGAATGTCAATGTCATTAAAGAAAGAAAGAAAAAGGCTGAGAAGTGGTGCAGATTGAAGGAGCCTGAGAGACATGAGAACTAGATGCAGTGTATGACCCTGGCCTGGCTCCCGCCCTTCTAGCACCGGTACCCGCGTGTTTGGATAGGGTCACCTGGGGTGATAACGGGCACCCCTTTCATGATGGCAGAGCTGAGCCCCTTGGATATATGCTCAACTTGTTTAGCATATTCAGGTGTAAGACACACGTGGATGTTTGATGGCAAGACAGGAGGGCTGCTTGATATGCCTGGCCATGTTTGGGCTAAAGGACAGAATCGCAAGGTGGGTCCCCAAATGACCAACAGTTCTGAGCTGACAGTGAGGGTCACCTTTAAAGGCTCAGTGATCCTAGGAGCTGGTTTGTTGCAGAGATGGACGTAGGTGGACCAGGGTGGGTGGGGGTGAGTGTGCGGCTGGAGCTGCCGTGTGATGTGGTGGGTCACTGTGGCGAGAAAGGAGGCCCAGGCCCGGTGTAGCCGCAGCACGGACAAGCAGAGGCTGGGGCTGAGTGGACACAATGTTTAATATACTCGCCTGTGCGTGCCTGGAGTTCAGCCCACCGTGGTGATCACACCCCTTGGAAGAAGGGTCTGGGCCAGGGTGGAACCCCAGGGGTCGGGGGATGTGGGATCCCGCCCACTCCCAGCCTGTGCTCCTTTCGCTGCACAGCCTTGAACAGGCTGCTGCATCTGTCCCAGTAATAACGCCAGTCCATCCTTCCACGACCTTAGGGGGCGAGACGCTGGGACATAACCGTGCCAAGGTGGGCAAGCATTGGAGTGGGGCGGCGGGGTCACTGTCTGGGATGCAGCAGGGAGATCTGGGAGCAAGAAGGGGTGACATGGGGGCACCAGAGATGGGCAGGGTTTAGGATAACAGTCTGCTCCCAGCAGGGCCCCGGGGGACCAGGGCAGGGGGGCAGGCAGCTCAGAGGTGCACCTCCAGCAGGTACCGCAGGCGGCACTGGCTCTCCTGGTAAATGAGGTACTCGCTCTGGGAGAATGTGGAGCTGCCGAACTCTGGGCAGGGCACAGGCCGGCCCTGGGGCACCGCCACTCGCTGGCCATCCAGCTCCACCTCGGTGTCCTGGGTCGGATCTGCAGTGCACACCAAGGGTCACTCACCAGTAAGTCCTGCCCACTACGCTCCCCACTTCTGCCACAGGGAATGTCTGTTCATTCCCACCTTGCCAACCTCCAAACCACTGCATAGGCTGGGCCTTCTGCCTGATCTATCCTTCCCCATTTCTCTACCTGGGGAACATCTACTCATCTTTCAATGCTTAGCATCTTTCAATGCTTAGTCAATGACACCTCTTCTTTGAAGCCCTCCTGGATGCCCAGAAGTGATTTGGTGAATGACTGCAGTGAGGAATCCTGCTTCTTTTTGTTCCTCTCCACAGCCCCTTCTCTGCTCATCTCCCCCACCCCATGAAAGCATCCTGGTCCCAAATCTCAGCCCCACCTCTATCCTCAGGCCTGCCCAGCTTCTTGGGACTCACCAGGCTCGGTGCGGCCTCGGGCGATGACACTGTCGAAGCCAGGGGGTGGCTGCTTCAAGCTGGGCTCGTCGATGGTGATATGGTGCTCTCTGCCCAGTGCCACCTCACCAAGGAACATGTAGCCAATGTAGTGGCCCTCGCAGGACATGCCAGTAACTGNCAGGGCGCGGGGCCCAGGCGCACGCGGCCCAGCCCGGGCGGCGGCGCCGCCAGCAGGCCCAGCGGCATGATGGAGGCGGCGGCCATCAGGTCCACGATGCACAGGTGCATCAGGTAGAGCGCATCGCGCAGTCCTGGCGTGCGCAGCACCACGACCAGCAGCGCGCCGTTACCCAGCAGGGCTGTCGCCTCCACAATAACTGCCAGGATCAACCCCATCGAGCCGACGACTTCTGTGGCGTTCAGCCCCGTGGTGTTGGCCATCCGAGCGCCCAGGCTTCACCCTGTGCTGGGATGCAGAGAACGAAATGGAATACCGCCCCCTTCCCATCACCCGTTCCGTGCTCCTCTGGCCCCCTCACCTCATAGGCTGCCCAGGCCCTGGCTCTGCTGCCCAGGCGGCCATCCTCTTGGGGGCTTGGCTGACCCCATGGAAAGGTGCAAGGCTGGGACTGCAGCTCTCTTCTCTGCCCCAGTAACTCAGCCCCTGCTGGAGATGGTACTGGCTGTCACTCTGATGTTGCCCTTTACAGACACACAGAGCTGGCACGGGAGGGGCAGGGCCTGGCACCAGCCCCCTGGGTCCTAGCAGCTGCCAGCTGGAGGCTGGAGGCTGTGCTGTGAAGAGTGTTGGGGGTGCCTCTGGAGAGGGGCCTGGAGCAGGCACAGGCGAGAGTCTAGACTGAAGATATTAGGGGATGGAAGGAGGAAGAAGCCAGGGTGTTTTCCCTCATGCTCAGCCTGGGGCGCTCCATCTACCTCTGTGGAAGACAGCCTCTCTCTCTTTCAGGCAACCCCCTCTGTGGTTCTGGCACCTGCAGGTGACCCTGGCCCCTGGGCATCGGGATGCCACTTCCTTCCATTATGGCTCCATCCTGAGGGTGGTAGCAGCTTCCCGCTATCGCTAACCTTTGGCTTGCCTCATCATCCCCTTTGTCTGTCTCAAATTCCTCTTGTCTGTAATACCTACAGTGATTTCTGCTTTGCTGACTGGATCTTGACAGACACACCTCCTACAGTCCACTGTCTACACAGCGGCTAGAGTGGATCCTGTTAAAAACAAATCAGATCGGGTCATGACCCTGCTGTCATCCCTCCAAGAGCTTCCCATCATCAGAATAGAATCTCAGCTCCTCTGTGTTGAGTTGGCCTTCTCCTCACCTCTCTGACTCACCCTCCTCCTTGCCTACCGTACTTCCAGCCATCGCAATCGTCTTGCTGCGTCTCCCATGTGTCAGATTGGTCTCCACCTCAGGATCGTTGCACTTGCTGCTTCGTCTGTCAGAACACCCTTCCCTTAGATCCATGGCTCGCTCCCTCACCTAACTCAGGTCTCTACCTGAGAGAGGCCTTTGTTGACCACCTCTTCTAAGACCATTCGCCCTTCCCATCACTAATCCTTTTACCCTGCTTTATTTTTCTTTCTGATACTTTTCCTACCTGGTATTGTATTTCGCATCTATGCACGTGCTTGTTTAGAGCCTAGAATGTAAGCCCCATGAGAGCAGGGACCTTGTCTGTGCCTTGCTCATGCTTGTGCCCGTAGAATCCATCAGAGGCACATGGTCAGCATCAGGACAGATCCGGGTAGTACAGATCAGGGCATGGACCTCTAGGTTTGACTCATTTCCTACTGGAATTTGAAGGGCTCCAGCCCAATTCTCCATTATTCAGATGAGAAACTGCTGCCCAGACAGGGAAGGAATGTGTCCCAGATCACGTAGCCAGTTGTACCTGGAACCCACATCACTTGCTTCCTAGGCTCTGCCCACAGCTTGAATGTAGTCTGATAGGAGATAAAGCTGGATTTTTGAGATTTTTGTTCAGAGGAAAGAGACGGCACTGGCCTTCTCCCTGCCCAGTTAGGCCTGCAGGCCTGGGGTAGCCCCTGAGCCACCAGGGCCTTGGGAGAGCTCAGCAAGGCCAGGTGGGGATAGCAAATGGGACAGGGGAAGGCAGTAGGGAGGTCTGGGGACTACGGTTGGCTGGAGAGTGCGCATTCCTCCAAAATCATTGAACTAAATTAAAAAACTTTGAGGTTATCTTTCTTTTGTTTGTTTGTTTTTTAATTTGCCAAAAGAAATGCAGGAAGGATAAACCAGAAACAAATGACCTTGACTTCCTACGGCAAGCGGGTGGGAATGGAGTGAAAGGGCGAGGACATGAACACTCTCCTGAGCACAGTTTTGTATAGATCGGACCTTATGACTATGTCAGTGTTCTATGTATTGAAAAATCAATCAGTGAAGATGAGGAGAACCCCCTGAAACAAATGAACCCACCTGTATTTCAAATGAATAACATAACCACGCTGAAGGGAACTAAGCAACTAGTCCAAGTAACATCTGAACTGTGTTCACATTCATTGACCTCAGTCTAAAGACAAACAAGATAATCTTGAATAAGATTCAATAAATCTTGATCCCTGCTTAGAAAGTTTGTTTTTCATAATGGCATGGGTGTAGGAATTCTGAAACTCCTTTTTGTGTGGGATTGAGCAAACAAGTGAATATATTGATGTCGATGGAAACCAAGGTTCATACTGTTAGAGAAGGGA